CGCGGCGCCGGCTGGAGCCCGGCCGTGGCAGCCGCCTCTCCTGTAGAGACGCGCCACCGATGGGAGCACGCGAGGGTGACGGGCGCAGGGCCTGGGGCCTGTGGTCGCCTCGCTGTGCGCTCCGGCTCCTCAGAATATGAGCTCGGGAGCACGCAGCCTGGCCTCGTGGAGACGCCCCGAGCCGCGACCGCCGGCCCAGCCTGAGTCCAGTCCCCGGGCTGTCGGCTGCGGCGCAGGGGACAGCACCCATTAGCTACTCGAGTTAATTAATAATAAAAGAGCCGACAGCAGGCACCTGTCAGCCGCTAAAAGGCCCTGCAGCAGCTGGAAGGGGGCAGCTTCCACCCGCTCAGGCGCTCCGGTCCTAGCTGTCCTGCGTTTCTTGCAGTCTCTCAGCAGGAGGCGGGATCATGGCCACCATCTCTCCAGACTGGGAAAAGAACTTAAATTCCTGGCGAAGAATTCCCAGGAAGGGCGTAAAGCACAAAAATCCAGCCGCTTTAACTGCGAAGGCCCCGTTGACTCCATTGATCCAGTGTCACGGCACCCATGTAGAAGGGAGGCTCCTTCCCAAACCTGCTCAGGTCTTTACAGACCGAGGCAGGTAAGGAAAGAGGCTCATTCCAGTCTTGGGTAACCCACCTGTGGGGCTGTGGGGAATGGCCAGGGCTGTGACAGTTCCTCATTTTCCCGTGGGGAATGGAAAAGATGACCTCACTGGTGCTGGCCCGAAACTGTGAAACTGGCTGCCAACCCGCTGGGACCACATTCCTGGAGGAGGCTGAAACCACACGGGGTGAAACCTCAGCCAGGTTTGCTGTTAGTCCGGTGGCTTCAGCACAAGCACCTCCATTTGGGGCCGTCCTTTTTTTTTTTTTTTAATGCATATAAGAGCTGGGGTGCAGGCCAGAGGTGGGGGGGAAGTAAGAGGATTCCCCAGAGACAGAGTGCGGAGCAGACACACTGCTGAGGGGAGCAGCGGGGAGACAGGAGGGGTCTGTTGCGCCCTGTGGGTCTCTCCCTGGCTGCTGATCAGATTCAGGCCGCAGAGGCTGCGGAGAGCTTCACGGTGCTGAGACTGAACCCCTGCGCCACCAGGGAGGACCTGTCCTTGTTTTTTTGAACAGAAGTGTTCAGCATGTTCTGCCGTGCTCTCCTGCCATTCAAGGACAGTCACCAGGGTAAGCATCGGCCATGGGACGCAAAGGTCTGGCGAGTGTGAATTAACTGTGAGCTAGGTAGTCCCAGGAAGGTGAGTCAGAGGCAAAACCGCAATCAATTACTCTAAGTAATAAGCTGAAAATCATGCGTGCAAAGCTTTAGTTCATGTCCACATACGCCAGGAGTTTGCATAAATCAGTAAGAAAAAATCAACACAAACATTTGGCAGAAAAGATGGAGCCATAAATTCCAAAAGAAAGGGCAAAATGATGCACACGGGACTACTGGAAACCAGTGACGCGGTATCAGAGGGGTTGTGTTTCTCTGACGTCGTCAGTCATCTTGTGTAGTTACTGTTCTAGGGGCGCCTTCCCACCCACATCCACCTGACTGGCCCTGACTGCCTCCTGCGCCCCAACCACCACCGACAGCCCGCCCCCAGGCTGCACTGCCCCGATGACCAGATGACCAGCTCCCTCCAGGCGTGCTCTAGACAGACGCGCTCTCCCTGGGCGAGGGCCTGCGCTCCGGGACCTCCACAGACCAGGCTGCTCAGCATTATTTCTAATAAACACAGGACTGTCTGGGCCTCGCTGGGGGCGCAGGGGTTCAGTCTCAGCACCGTGAAGCCATCATTGGATGCTGGCCAGGGAGTGACCCCCAGGGCACAGCAGACCTCTCCTGTCTCCCTGCTGCTCCCCTCAGCAGTGCATTTCAGTCCATCTGCATGTTCTGCTTCCCGCTGTGTCTCTGGTGAGCCCCTCCACACGTCTGGTCTGTACCTCAGCTCTTGTATGCATAAATAAATAAAACTTTAAAAAACTCGGACTCTATCAACAAGTCTGGCTAAAGCATCATCGATTTACTGCAATAGTATTTACCTCGCCAAAGGGAGAAAGTCTGGACCAGTGGGCTGATCTGGAAAGCCACACACCAGACTTGCAGGCCACACATCTCTTAGCATGGTGTCAACTTGCTTGCAAGATTTCTCCACAGAGGCACTAAATATAACTCAAGAAACTAAGTATCCACTTTTCAAGAGTCATAGTGTTTGATAATTTGGATCTTTTCACAGTCTAATTCCCCCCCCTGAATTTGTAATAGTCTCAAAGCATTATTCTGTAATTTTTCAACACTTCGAGACAATAAAGTTAAAAAATATTTCAGTTTTGAAATGGCGAGACTGAACATACATTCACACTGGAAAAATCGTTGAAAGAGGATAAAAGGAATGGAAAAATACAGTAGGAAAGGTATTGTCCAGGCAGGTACCAAAAGCATCCCAATAAAGGGATTACTCTAGCTGTTTTTTTTTTTTAAAGATTGATTTATCTATGCATACAGAACTGGGGTACAGGCCATAGGTGCAGGAGCATTGAGAGGATTCACCGGAGTCAGAGTGGGGAGCAGAACAGGCAGATGGAGGAAGTACAATGCTGAGGGGAGCAGCGGGCGGTCAGGAGAGGTCTGCCGCGACCTGTGGTCACCTCTGGGTGGGGATCGAACTCATGCTGAAGTGGCTTTAGCTTCTCAGCACTGCACTTTAACCTGCTGCGCCACCAGGGAGGGCCTGCTCTAGGTGGTTTTAAGAGCTTCTCTCTCTCCTCCATGATTCTGTCGTCATGGAAGAGCGATTATAACTGAAATAATATCACATTATCAGTGGTGCCACTGGACCTTGGGCAGGGCGAGCTGGAGTGATCACTTGGGGTCATCCCTTCTCTTGGGTGTGGAACAACTTGGGGTACAATGGCGATCACCCAGTAACATCACAGCACTGGTTACGGCAGGCCCCGGTTTCATATTTTGAAGAATGACAGTTGTACACAGTATGGAATTGCTGTGGGCATATTGGCAATTGGGTTCTTTTCAAAGATGTTACTCGCTTTTGATGCTAAAACAAGCTACAGAAACAGCCTTACCCCAGAGTGAGTGTTTTGATTTCCTGGGCTTCTAGACTGAAGCCACGTGGCGGGGACCAAGGTCCTGAAAGGACACGCTTTCAGGAGGATGCGCAGGTTCTAGCCATGCCGCTGGCTCCCAGCCTCCCTCGCCCCCACCCTCCCGTCCTCCCCAAGACCCCGTGGCAGGTGCAAACTTGGTTCCTGTGTTCCGCATCATCTCGCGGAGCCAGCTCTCAGGTGCGGCCCGACCCGCCACGTTCACCCAGTCTGTGTGCTCACCGGGAACAGGGCGATGGCACAGGGGAGGCGCGCAGCTCCGGCCGCAGTGGGCGCTCAGGAAAAGCTCCGGGATGAGACAAGGCCAGGATTGGCTTCCAGGGGTCTCCCAGGGGCCAGGCCCTTCCCGAAGCCATCCCGGGCTGGCTGCCGCCCTCCCAGCCTCCTCCCGGGACAGGCAGCTCCCGGGGCCACGTCCTCTTCTCCGCTGGCAGCCGCACACCCTCCTGCAAGGTCGATACAGAGGCCCTCCGGGGCTGTCTTCACCGAAAGCACGTTGACTAAGGACCCACAGCTGAAGTCCTGGTGCAGAAGGAAAACGCAGGTTCCCTGTTCAAAAGTCATCAAGAACTTTATCGCAGCCACCTTAAAGCAAGGCCGGGGCTCCCCCGCAGGCTCTCATCCGGAGACAGAGATGACACAAGCAGGGGAGGGAGCGGGCTGTCAGGTCACCCGCTCACGACGGCAGCTCCCCCATGCGCGTAGGCCAAGCCACTTGCCTCTCCTTGAACCCTCGCCAGAGCCGGCTCCGTGAGGGGTATGAGCCAGCATTTTAAGAAGTGGTAAAATACAGTCTAGAATTTACTCTCGTAGCCATTTTTTCAAGTGTATGTTCAGCAGTGTTGGCTCTGTTGGCATTGTTATGCAGCCAAATCCCAGAATGTAATGATCATGCAAAACTGAAACTGCCAGCTCAGCTCTAGGGCTCTGCCCCGCCCCGTCAAGTCCCTGGCACCCACGTCCTCCTCTGTCTCCCTCAGCTTGACTAGGCCAAGTGCCTCCGTTAAGTGAAGCACATGGCATCTGTCTTTTTGGGTCAGGCTGATTTCAGTTAATATTATGGCTATAACCAGTAACAGGCGGTCCTTTTTTGGGGCTGAGTAAAACTCCGTCGTGTTTACATGGCTTCTCCCTGACTTATAGGGATCCCTGACTTGTGATTCCTCAACTTTACGATGGCACAAAAGTGACCTTCGTTCGCAGAAACCATGGTTTGGTTTTTGAACAAGAGCATTCTGTTCTCGCTTCCAGCACATACTCAGCAAGCGGGTGAGATGGCCAGGTTTTGTGATTGGCCAGTCTGCCTGCGTGGGGTTGTGCACGTGTCTGAGCACACCTAAGGTAGCTCAGCCAGGCCACGATGCTCCGTAGGCATTTTCCAACTATGATATTCCACCGGGCCACAT